AAAAAAAAAAAAAAAAAAAAAAAATGACATCACATTCTCAGACTGCTTCCTACATCTATTCCTAAAAGGAATGCAGGCCCATATTAAGACAGAATATTACATTCTTTGACCTTTATTTTATATTTGACTCACTGAATTGTAAGGTTAAGAACAAGTTTTGATCATAACTTACCTTTACCCATAGTACAATGGAACTAAATCATATAGAAAAAATGTTTTTTTCATTAATTTTACCAGATGCATCAACAGTGTGATTTATTATCAGTTATGTAATAAAAACATTTTGGTGTGGAGTTTTAAAAAATGATTAACCTCAGAATGAAAATGGTCATTAAAAGATTTCTAGATTTTGCTTTTTATAAAAATCAATATTTAGAATTTCACAGTGAAGAGGTCCTAAATTCCTCATACAACATGAAATTATATAAAAATAGAAGACATAGACATCTTTAAATCTTTAATCCTTTGATTAAGCAGCAAGCATATCACTCTTCCAGGCCAAACACTGCTTAAACAAAAAAGAAAATGACGTGCAAAATATTTACAAAATATGCAAAGCACACAATAAAGACATCTCACTATATACATGTGTCATATTACTAATAAAGCTAAGACTTCTACTGTGTGCTCTAATGCATGTAAAATTACAGCACATCCCTCAGATACAGCACTTTGGCCCATGTCTGGGATAGAACAGATTTTAAGTGAATCACAATGTAATGAACAGCTGGACAGTTGCTGGTGCTGACCAGCTTGATGGACATATCCCACACACTGTGTACTGAAGGTCTACTGACAAGAGACAAGACAATAAAAGCTGTGCAGGTATAGAATGCACATACGCAAGACAATCTAAGTGCTTTAAAAATCTCTAGATTTTTGTTAATATAACTGTCCCTCATGGCTTCTAAAGTAAAAATAAGTGTAAGTTCTTTAACATCAAGAATTTTAAATTAAATTTTATCTGATTATAATCCAGGGCAGGAACTATTTAACATGACCCAATGAGAAAGAAAAGGACCTATCCTGCAAAATGTTTTTGGTTATGCAGTGTCCTTTTGAAGTGGCCTAAACTTGAATATTAAACTAGTGAGTGATTTTAGATCTACAGCTCTTTAAGGCTATAGAGCCAATGAAAGGGACTATTTTCTCAATACTGGGGGAATATATGACCTCTCCAAATTTAAAACTGGGGCCTTTGATGGTGGCTGGTGAGTGGTCCTGAAAGTGATGAGAATGTGCACGTGCAAACATTTAGCCTATGTCCCACTAGCACAGCAATCAAAGCGATATGTTCCTCACACAGTCATGATTCCAATATAAAATCATTGTATCAAAAATATGAGTACATATGGTTGAAATACTACAGGGGTGTTAATGATTATTTATCGAATCAAGACTTGAAGTCTTTTTTTTTCAGTTAACAGCACAATTTTGACAATATACTGATACATTTTTAGATAATGCAGAACAAATTCTTAAATTCATTTTATGAAATAATGTAGATGATTTAACCCTAAACCAAACCCTTGAGTACAGGTTGGCTGCAAGGTAATACACGAATGCATCCGACTAGTACAATCAAGAGAACACCCTTCATAATGAATGAGACTACATTAATAAGTATGAGGGCACTTTTAAGTTCAGAACCTAAACACAAAAAGGGTATTGTAAATAGAGGTTTCCATAACCCCTATCTCTACGTATCTGACAAAATATAATTCTCTTCTAAAGTCTCCAAATGTAGGCAACTACTAGCTAAAAGCAAATAGCATTTAGAAACATAAACTTTTTTCCAAAATTAACTACATTTTCAAGAACTTAAAGACATTATATTTCAGCAAATTAAGTCCTCATTTGTATGTAAAATTACTATCCAATCCTCTTATACTGATAGATGACAGGGTCAATGACCTTTAAATAAGGACTTTGTACTAGGACCCTACACTGTATGATAAAGGGTTAGTAGGTTCGGTACATTCTTTGTGGCTTTATATAATTGCTTTGCAATTGATTAAAGTGCTTTCTTTTAAAGGAATATGGTAAAATTCCTTTAGAAAAAAAGCAACATATTTTGAAAAAAGGGATATGCAGGTATAATTTTTAAAATATGAATAAAATGAACACATATCAAAATGTGAAATGCAGGCTATTTATTCTTGCACTCCTAACATAGGAAAATGTTTTTTAAATAAAAGAAAAGGGCAAACATCCTTAACTTAAAAAAGTAAGTTTTTACAATTCCTAAGTCAATAATCCTGTACTAAAAGCCTTGACTATGAAGAGGCAGGAGTATAAAGAACCTCAATAAAATAAATATAGTAAAAACAAAAAACCCCTTGGTATATAGAATACTTAAATCTTTTTTTCTTCCTTTCATGAGATCACATTGGTGAACACATCCTCTAAAAAGGGTAACCTGGAAGCTTTTTGTTATACAGTATTTTAGTATAGTGAACTGAAAGGTTTCTTAAGACATCCACTTAATGTTAGTCCACTGCCACAGAATTATTTTGCAGCCTCAGTATCTAGGAAGGACTGGTTTCCCCTTTTGCATCAGTCAGAGGAGCACTGGTGTAACGACGGGGTGAGAAGTCACTGCAGCGCTGCCGACTTAGTTTTAGTGCAGTGAGGACTGTGAATCTGTCTGAATCCCGATGAGGGACGGTGGCTGCTGACTACCCCCTGTGGACAGCACTGGTCTTGGGTTTAGACGGGGCGGCATAGAATTAGCAGGGCGAATGAGAGGCGGTGGAGGCTGATTTAGAGTCGGCCGGGGCTGGATGAACCGAGCCTGCTGCTGCAGAGGCGGCGGCTGCCGGTGAAGAGCAGGGGCAGCAGGCGGTGCTGGACGGAGCAGCGGTGGCGGCTGGTTCAGAGTGGCAATGGAGGCTGCTGGTGCTGGAGTGGCCGAGGGGCCAGGAGGTGACGGACCCAGAGTCCGAGGAGCCTGTGGGCTCTGTGCCTGGAGGCGAGGAGACAGAAGTACACGAGTGAGATGCTAAGTCCTATGACCTAAACACAACACAGTTTGGGCTGTCACAGGAAAAACAAAACAAATAAAACAAAACAAAAACATAACGTCAGTGTTTATTGGAAGCACAAGCTTCTTTTATTTTAAACAAAACAAAACAAAACAAAACAGAAAAAGCAATGAGGCTACCAAACAGGCATCTTTATTAGTAAACAGCTTAACACTGGAAATAAAAATAAAGACTATAGAAGAACGATATACTCTCCATTCTGCTAGGATCAGAAATTAGCATGTCATTATGACTCAGGAGTCACGAGTTACTGGGTGAGTGTACTGGCAACCTTTCATGCTCATTTAGCTAGTCCTCCGGCAGCTTAGCCTTACAGAACACCACACAAAATGGTGACTCCTCAACTCATATTAGCTCAAATTCCAGACACAAACACACCTCCTCTTCTTCATCAGTGCTCTTCCCTGATGGCACATTAGAAGCACTTTTTGTCTCCTCCCCTAAAGTAGAAGCATCACCATTAGAAGCCTGGGTTCCTTGTTCTGCTTCCCACTCCTGCAATACCTCCTCTAAGTTAAACCGACGCCTGTAGTTTACAAAGAAGTTCTTCACTTGGCCAACAGTCTTGTTGCCAATTACATCTGCAATAGCTTGAAAATCTTTACCATATTTGCGGACACCTGGAAGGCAAAGTAAATAATACACCTGTGAAGAATCAATAAGGAGAGCTGTGTGTACTAAACATCATGCACACACAAACGATACCAGCAATGAAAATCCTTTCTGAAAAACTCTTCTCAGTTCTGTTTTGAGATAGAGGCTAAGGTATCAGGGTCACAGATGAAAACTATCAATTACATCATTTCACTGAGCCAGCCCCTTGGCTTCAACTAAACAGTCAGAAACTTACCATTTCTTTCATACTCAGTTATTTTCTCCAATCCTCTCTCGAACTCTCAAATACAGTCCATTTATTGTAAAGCATTGAATTCTGTGTTCCATCCTCAATTCCACATTCATTTATTTCCCTAGTAGCCAGTCACCTAAATTTGAGCAACACCGTTTGTAAACAAAACTGGATGGGAATGAGCCATCTTTCATCCCCTCAATGGACTGAGTGAGCAGCTGCAGTTCCCCTCAGTATTAAGACAAACACTGTAATTTTGGTCTTAATGCTAACTTCAATGGGACTGTCTGCCTATATCCCACCAAGGTATCAACAAACAGAAATGAATTAATGTATAAAAGAATTATCGCAATCTGATAGATTCGAAGAGGATATTTTTCCGTCAGCTGACTGTAACTCCCGGAGTGGTTCCCAACCCCGGGGGAAGGGCTCCTGGATGTGGCACAGCCCCAGGGAGGTGGGGTCCGCACTGCCCAAGGAGCAGCCTGCTCACCACCGCTCACACTTACGAAGGGCTGTGCACTGGGGTCTCAGGACTTCGCTTTTTCACCAAGAAGTTTCATTACAATGAAGGACAGTAACTGACTTAGGAAGCTGAGATTACCGATTATCCCACGGAGCTTAAAATGAGTAGTTTGATTTGAAAGGAATTATATTTTGTGCTTAGCTGAAAATATAAAACTTGTCAACAATTATCATTTTACACTTCGTAACTGCTTTTTAATACCAGAAAACAATAATTCATTAAAGAGATGAGAACAAAGACCGAAATAGAGGGTTTGTAAAAAATTAAGACATTTATAATTACGGATGATAAACTAATGAAGATGTTAATACCCTAGAAGAAATGCTATATTCTTATTGATAACCAATTAATATGAAGTACCCAATTAACTGAAAGCGACATCATAATGTGACATGATTTTACTTTTAAGTTATGTTCTTATTTTACTTTGAGAATTGGGAACAAGCATCTCTGGCTACATTTAACTAGCTAGGGTTGACCTACGGGGAGTTTTTACCTTAGAGCACTGTGGATGGGAGGTCTGACATTAGTATACTCTATGATATCTAGTTCTAAATGGAGAATTTAGTTAGTAACCTATGCACATTTGCTCTGTTCTCAAAGGAAAAGACAGATATATGGACAGCCAAGTAAAAAAACGACATACATCGTTTATAATGTTTTAGCAACACAAATGAATTTATATTCTTTAAATCCATGGGCTGATTTACAGTTTGAAGTTCACAGTTAAGATAAATTTTAATAGTGACTAGGTTCCACTAAGGGTTTATTTAGTAATAAAGAACCCAAGTTACCTCATAGTAATAGTTACTGTTAAGATACGCAGTACTTCCCCACTACTTACACTTTAGAAAATAGTGCCACTTATCTGAGATCCCTGCACTGAAGATTACTAAGTACAAATCAGTATTTATCAGTGCAGTTATTTTCATAAGGGTTACTTACTTTACATTCTAGAAATGGCCAAACCTGAGTATGTAAATTTAGAAATGAAAACTTTATATAAGACTAGGTTTAGCTCTTTCCTAACCCTAACAAAAAGTAACATACATTGAGGGCCGGGGATTTGGCTCAGTGGTTCCGCCGCCTGCCTCACAAGCGCAAGGTCCCGAGTTTGATCCCCAGTACCAAAAAAAAAGAAAAAAAGTCACATGGAGACTCTCTCAGACTGAAGATATAATCCACAATACCTGTATGATTTGCAGAATATATTCCCCAAATTGCACAATAAATTCTGAAACTGTCTCCAAGACTGATTCCATTATATACCTGTCCTTTCTTCGGAGTCTATTCCTTTTGACTCTTCTCAGTTCCTTCTTCCAGAGTGGATTTTACTTTGTCACCAATACTATCACATTTGCAAAATTATAGACTCGAAATTCAAAACTACTTCCCATGAGCTTTAGATTTTCTAAAGGCTCTGGATGTCCAGGACTTCCTCTAAGTCACCAGGCATGTTGGCTGTAGCTCAGGTAAGCTAGGCTAGAGTCTCCGGGCCTGGGACACCCTGCAGACCTCCGTGGTCTGGCTGAGGATCCCAATCTGTTCTGGGGACCTGTGTGCCCAGAGCCTGATTCCCTCAGCCTGCAGGATGCCTGGAGCTCCTTGGCAGCTCCTCTGGATTGAAGCAGCCTCACCTGCCTGCCCCAAAGTGTTTTATTTTTCTACCAGGTTTCAGAATGTTCTCTGTACCATGATGTGAAAAAAGTTCTGCAGTACTGTCCTACGAAATGCACATAAGCACCAGCAATACTACCATGCCAAGTTGGCATAAAGTGCTCAGGAAATACGATATTCCTCCCACAGGTTGACTTCTACTTTCTTCCTCAAACCGTAAGAGGCATACAGAGCGGGCTTCTCTATCATCTTCACACTAGAATGATGGTGCTCAACTGTACGTTTTGCCTCCAAGATGGAATTTTTAAGCTCTGTCATCAGCAACTAGGTGAACTCCAGTGAAATGCCAAGTGACTTGCTGCTACTTCTTCAGAAGAACTAGGCTTCTAGCACAACCTAGCAAGGCAGTGATGAGGAGCCGTTGGCCTAGCAAGTTTAGCAAGTTAGAGTGCCAGAGCTTCTGAATACCACCTGTACAGGGCAGGGTGGGGATCCATTCTTTTTCATAATCTACAATAAACAAGTAAATCAGATTTCTTTCTCAGCAAGGGAGTTAAATATGGCAATCAGGTCAATCTCTCTACTTGCTAAAGTTTTGCTGCTGGGGCAAAAGGTCAATTTTCAAGGATTAAGGAAGTAATGTTTGGAGAACCCTGAAAGAGGCAAACTGTAAAATTCTCAGGGAGGAATAAAACTGTTTTGGTCAACTTTCTAAACTTTACTTTAAAGTTATAATGAAACAATTTGGCTTGCTATGCTGGGAGGTATCTGGTGATATTTAATATGTATCTTAAAAGTTTTGTCTGGAAAAGTAATATAAAAATATAATTTATTAGGATTTTCTGCCCATTTTCCAAATAGTATTCTGTATTACCCAACATAAAACCCATTCATAACCTTTTTACATTTCTTACTCATCCTTTTCATTTGCTAAGGAAGATATTTTTACTAATAGTACTGACTTTGTCATAGTCTTCGTCTGAATTACTCCAAATTCTGAATTAGTCAAGTTTGTCCATTTGTATTTTTTGAGTTTTGGTTTGCAAGATGGTAACTTCAGGAGACTTTATATATAAGGTATTTCTCAATTCTAGACATGAAATCAGAATTTGCTTTTTCAGCTAGAAGGGACAGCATGCATAATCGCTTTTCTTATATTTAAAAATGTATTTTTAAAATCTGATTTTGGAGAAAGAAAAACAATCAGAAAAGCAAAACATTAATAGTGGCAAGCTCCTTCTAGGTTGAGAGATTTCAGGAGACATTTTTCCTGCTCCTTTTTTTAAAAAAATACCAGCACTAGGGATTGAACCTGGACCTCTGTGCTGAGTCACACCCCCAGTCCTTTTTCATTTTTTAAAAAAATTTCTGAAATTTTGAAGCAGGTTAATTTAAGTTGCTAAATTGATCATGTAGGGCTTGAGTTTAAGATCTTCCAGCCCTCAGCCTACCAGAGTGCTGAAATTACATGTTTTTCCCTTTTTCTTACAAGTAAAATTCTTAAAGTCAACATGTACTTAATTGGAAAATATACTTATCAAAAATCTGTTTTTTGAAATAAAAGGAGCATAGGAAGTTCAAGAATCTCTACAGATGTGACTTTCAATCAATAAGACATAAACAAATCATTTGTGAATATATATTTATTTCTACTGCCTGTGAATCTATTCATAAATTCAACATTGAGGGAGAAAATAACAACAGAACAATGATTGGTGCATATAAGTGAGAGCTAAAACCTGAAATCATGTATTTTCTTTCTAATGTCTATGTTTCTCTTCTGGGTCTCATATTCCCTTTCTCCTTGTTGTACATTAAATCCCATTACAAAAATGCTGAAAATTTTGACTCCTCAATTATTTGAAGTAAGCACATTAGAGAGGGCTGACAGTTATTTGGGGATCTCCATTCCTATGGCATCTGTTGCCTTTCAGATGCAAAAGCATGAATTTCCTGTTTGCACTTCCTCTACATATACATTTACTATCCTTACATTTTTATCAACTGTCTAATCAATGCATCCTATTTTATAGACCATAAAGCCTTTTAAAGTATGAGACAAGCAGAAAGAAGGCAATTTCTAGACTTGCAACTTCAATTCTTTTAAAATGGAGCAAATACATGTACTACAAGGTAGCTTTTAACGTAAAGCTAACAGCTTGAACATAGTTCTTACATAAGACGGCAGGTAATATGCAGAAAGAACTAAGAATTAAAACTGACATCCTGATAAAACTGGAAAAATTTATTCTAAAAGAGCACTAAGATTTTAATTGGGAAGTATTTTTTTTAATAGCACCAAGACTAAGAAATAACTATATTAAAAAAAGAAAAAAAATATTTAGGCAGTGGCCTAAAATAAATGGCATATATTGGATACCACACTTTGAAGGATGTTTAGTGTATCATTCAAATGTGTTATTTTCTGAAAACAGCTAATTATTGTTCCATTTTACATAAAAAGACAAACCTAGAATCCGATTTCTTTTTCTATTTTTGCTCAAAAGAATTATATGAATATTAAGTTTAATTTTAGGATAATTTCTAAAAACATTATAAGTTAAATATTTATATATGTGGCACAAGCTAGAAACCAGGACATTTTACCATTAACACAAATACGAGAATATCATGACTGGTCTCACTGCTAACCAATTTATTAACAGAAAATTTAGATACTTAAGGCTAGAACAGATGACAGAAATTACAGGTCAGTTCTTGGCAAATATTTTAAGTGGACTTAATTAGTAGCATTAATGATACCCTACCCCTGGGGACTCTTGAAGGAAGTCACTGAAATTATAACATAGGTAAACTAGAATCAACATAATAAAGAGAGAGATTACAAAAGCATAAATGTACTCCCATTGAATGTGAACATGACTCCCTAACTCTCCTTTCCATTGAGAGAAAGCATTTAACCATCAAGGGTTAGCAGTTAATTGACATTTAATTACCAATAATGTGAACAGATTGGATGGAAAAGTAAGGTGGGAAATACATATTTAAGAACTAGGAAGGAAAATGATTTTGATGTTTGGTTTAAAAAAGTTACAACAAAAAGTTTATGTAATAGAATCATAAATTTTAACAGTAGCAGTAATGTTATTTCTTTTTCCAAGTCACCGTGGTAGTCTGTGAACAAGATAATATAAAGCATTTTACAAATGAGTGTCAAATCAGATATATGTAAAAACTATCTTCAATATAAAGTGCTATACAAAGTAAAGCATGTTAATATCAAAAACAATTATTACTTTGTAAAACTGTAACAGCTGTCAGTAATACCACATGAAAGACTTATAAAAATTAAAGAAAAAAAGCTCTTAAATAGCGTCTAACAGCAGACTACATGTTAAAATAGACACTTCATATACTTGATATATTTTAGCCACTGAGACTCAGGTGCAGGTGATTACTGTATGATCATACCCTGTATAAGACACATTTCTGGGCACTGTGTAAATGTGCAGGCACATAAGATAAAACGGTGCTTTTTAATCCTTTCTAAAATAACTACTTTAGACACAAATTGCTTTATATTGATTTATTTTATGTAATAATAGCAAAAAACAAAAAGCCCCAAATGAAAACAAAAATTCCAAAGTCAAAATAAGTAAAAATGAGACCTTAACACATTTAAAAAGTCCACCAGGATCCTAAGAGCTGCAGAGCGCTATACAAACTGCTGGATTAACTGATTTAAAAGGTTACTTTTTAAACGTGAATATAGTACCGAATATGTCTCAATAGGCTAAATGTTTGATTGCATGCACCAATACTCTAGTATTTATAAGCTATGTCCCCATGTACAGCTCAGGCTACACACACACACACACACACACACACACACACACACACACACACACCCCTTAGCACTGCCCTTTCCCTGAACACAGTTTGCACGTCCAGCCCAGCCGTAAGATGCAATGGACCCTAACACATACAGTATTGTACAAGTGTGGAACCATGAGTGTCGTTTAGAGAAATATCAGCCCACACCTTTCTAGGAAAGCCTCTTCAGAAAATCTTGTTACTGGACAGTTTTTTGTATTACAGCACAGAATTAACGTACTGACCTTTATGCACGCTAACGCTGGAAGGCAGAGTTCAATTCTTAACAGGCAATATACCAAAATGGGAAACTTAGGCTTTTTCTGAATAAAAGGAATGCCTATTCAAACTAATTATGCTAGAGCTGTAAGCCATAGTTCTAAATGAGTACAAAACAGCCACTGCAAATGCTAATTTTTAAACAAAAATTTAAACTGTCAAGAGTCTAATTTTAAAGCTGTTATTACTGAACATTTAACTACACCATGTTCTAGTTCATTCGGAAACTTGGCTCTACAATTACAGCTACGCTCAGTGAGCACCCATGACCTAGTGCATAGAACCAAGTTCTCTTTACGAAAAGACTGCCAGGCTAGAGGGCCAAATGGAAGGCTGACATCCTACTGACACTATTCTTCGACATTTTCAAATCATGTTGGCTGGCTAAGTCTTGCTCTGTCCAGTCCAAACTGTAGGATCATCTACTAGTCAATCTTTAACTGTATTATTCTCAACTCTGAATATTGCTTGGGTAGGATTTTTGTATTAAATGTATTCTCTGATGAGTCTTTGGAAAGATTTTAAAAGGTGTGCTTGTATGCCTCTCTCTCTAGTAGTTAACATAGATAAAAAGCTGTAGGTATTCAATACAAAGAGGGCTCACCCAAGAATAAACAAAGTGTAGACCACACAATCATTCCTGCAAACAGTATATCCTGAAGAGAAAAGAAAAATCCACAGTACTTTATAAAAATATACGAAACCCGCCCTAAAGTAATTCAAACATGAGAAAATCTGTTTAGATTTCCAATTTGCCCATGAATATTCTCATAATACAAAACCTTTTGCCATACAGCTCAACAATGCATTAAAACTCCTATTTGTGTATTTCTGATGTCTCTTTTAAATATATAAAATCAGGTTTCTAAGCATTTAGAGGCACATCTCTTAAGGCATGATACACTGAACGTTAAGCATACTGTTAATATTTTCAGTACCTGACACTTAAAAAATAGACAAACACTATTATACAGAGTAATTAGAAAACCCAAAAACATACTGTAACCCATTTTATGCTCTTAATTAAGCGTCACCAATGAGGGACACAGCAAGAAGGGGCCCAGCGGCCAGAGCCCTGCAGCAAAGCGGGGAGCCCACAGGGCTGTGCACGCCTGAGCACCCTTGTCTCACCCTGAACGTCCTGGGCGGGAGGCACCTGTCAGTTCAGGGCCCAAACACACAGACTCGGGTTTCAGCCCACAAACCCACAGAGCTGCTGCTCACCAGGACTCTGCGGTGAGCACCAGAGCCCTTTCTCGATCCATTTCTGAAGAAAGGGAAGGAAGAACTATGGTAGTCACTTTTAATGACAAGTGAAATCATTATGAACAACAATAACCGCTTATCTTTAATATACCTTGCACTGCTAGAAGCTGCTCCTCTGTGGTCCAACGGGCATTAATTTTCTGATTTGACTACAAAATTAAAGAGAAGTTTCCTAATGAGGATATGAAGACAGACATTTTTTCAAAGTGCTTATTTTTTAAAAACTTTTTACCAAATCATAGACATGAGTTTACTAAAACTGATTTAAGAAGATTCCATCTTTAGAAGGATTAAAAATATATATTCAGAGTTACCTCTTACCCACACAGAAAGATAATTAAAGGGAAATTATCAATTTGGGAGAATGAACATCTATACTTCAAATCTGAGATATTAAAAACTTGAGAAAAATCTATCAGTCACCCATGTTCTGATTACAACATTTCTATCACAGTGCAGTATTACTTTTAGTCTAGTTGTTAACATGTAAGAGACTCTACTCTTGTTAGAAAAGACCTGTGACTGTAACATTCTTTTGTTCACATTTAGATTAAGCTTATCCTTTCTTACCCACAAATTAACAAAGAACACAGAACTGACCTAAGTCCTAAAACACTTCTTTAAATTTCTGCAAGCAGAAAGTGACTCACTGATAATAACAGATTTGTTTTTTCTCCCAAGACCTCAAAATATTTTTCCCAATTTTGGTCAAAAATCATAAATTTAGGATTTTTATTATGGTAAAATGACAAAATAAAAGACCTAACCAGGTTTCATTAATTTATACCCACTGACTAGTAAATCAAGGCTCTGTGGCCATAGCTGTAGGGACAGAAATAAGCATGGCAGCTCAGAGATGTGCAGAAGGAACTGCTGAGACAGGGCGCCTGCAGAAACACCTGTTTTGTGGGGCAAAGCACACAGAGGGCTTCCTCCAAGAAAGGGTGTTTAGTTCTTACCCTTCACATGCTCTCAGCAGTAAGAGTTTCTACAGTGCACAGTAAAAACATGTGAGTTAGAAGGAAGAATGAAAGAAAAATTCAAAGCTAAAAATATTTCTCAGAGGAGAAAGAAAAAAGTATTGAGAAAAGAAAAAAGAGGCTTAGAACAAGAGGGAAAAACCTGAAACAGTAATGACTGCATTTCAGAGGAGATTAAAAATGAACAGCAAAGCATGTCAGGCAGCAGTGAGGATACTTGAACAATAAAAATGAAAAGAGAAAAAGGGTAAAAAAAATCCTGAGACACATACCGAAGCAAGTGAAAGTGTAAACCAAAGTTTAGAAGGTGAAAATAGGGCTGGGGATTTAGCTCAGTGGTGCCATCGCCTGCCTCGCAAGTGCAAGGTCCTGAGTTCGAGCCCCAGTACCAAAAAAAAAATTGAAAATAAATGAAAAGGAGATTCACAAAAATAAAGTAGGAGCTAATACTGATTGCATGTAGGTAATCTGATGCTACCTTGGCTATGAAAAGTAGATAGAAAGTCCTCAAACTGCTGTAGTCTCAAGGACTGAGGCCGGAGGGTCGCAAGCTTGGGCCTAGCCTGGGCAACTCAGCAAGACCCTGTCTCAAAAATAAAAAAGGATGGAGATGCGGCTCAGCACAAACGCACACACATGTGTACACACATGTACACACACAGAGACCTTGGCATTTACTGATGACTGGTGCTGGAACCTACTGAAAACAGGTCCAAATATTTCACGGTAAATGATGAAAAAAATAAGGGATTGATTATAACTCTATCTGATATATAAAAAAAACCTTACAAAATTGGTTCATTATTAAAAATAGCTCATGATTTAGTTAATATGCTTTTTAAAATATGCTTTGTTTTTGGGTTTGAAATTCGCATGATCCCTAAAATAGGTTATTTTTGTTTTTAAGATTTCAATAATTTTCTTAATTCTTTGTTAACTCAAATTATTCTTTCTTTGAAGTGCTTGCCTCTGAGTCGTCCTTTATTCTTCAACTGTTAATTCTGCTGAATATTCATGTCAGCAATTTTGTAGGTGGCTGAAGTGATTCTCTTACGCTTTAACACACTTCATAAAGGTTTTTCACCTTTGCAACGTTTGCAGTGTCATTTTGGTTTGTGCTGCATTCACACTGTGTTAACGAGCGACAGACAGGGGTGCTGACGAGATGGATGGCACAGCAACAGCTAAGGCCATTAGGGAGAGGGTGTTCTCATTGGGCAACTTTTGCTTTTCCACGTATTCCTTAGGCGAGAGAGACTTTAGATGCTGTACACACAAGCTGCTGTGAGGATAAATATACCAAATGTAAGGCTGTGCATTCAGAACACATGTAAGAAAGCATCCAGCAGTGCCTGAGCCAATGTCCAAGGCAGAAACTAGAAGGAAACATAGCATGAAAAAAATAATTAAAGAGAAATAATGTACACTATGAAAAATGATTTTCATCTAAACTTCATAAAACTTACGAGAGCTCCAGGAGACTGGATGAACAAAAGTAACCATTTATAAAAATTAAAAGTAGAGAGTATAACGGGGAATACAAAAATGGGAGGAAAAAGTCACAATAATTAATGTGTGTGTGGAAGAACAAGGGAAAAAGTGGAAGGCTTGGAGGTTGAGAAAGACTTTAGAAGAAGTTTCCGAAAGCCAAAGAAAGGGCATCCCGTGTGTAAGAAGAGTGGATGCACATGCACATCAGGAAGACACCCGCCGGCTTAAGCCTGGAGAGCCAGAGGCGTTCAGATAGGCAGTAAAAGCCCAGGCTGATAAGCTCACAGTAAACAACAAGCAAAAGGTGTCTTCTGCTTTGTTTTGTTACTTTGGAGGGGAGGGCGTGTGTGAAAGGGCATGATTTTAACCAAAGTAAGACCTTGAACCTGGATAACTGGGACAAGGGCGAGGCCGCCTTCAGACCCCAGGAAGTTGAGAAGTGCTGATGAGAGATGCCAGTGATGCAGGAAGGGAAGGCTAAGATTGACGGAGGCGGAGAAGGAGGCGTTGGAATGCCCTGCAGAGTGCAGTTTACCTGAGGCTGAGAGATGCACTTATTCAAACACATTTTTGAAGAATCTGGGAAATTTTTACAAGGAAAAATAATGCAGTAATGCCTTACTCAGACATAAGGTTCCAATACTGAGCTACAAAGTTTTTTAAAGTTGTGTGCTTTGTTTCAAACTTACTCTTGAAATGTCCTTACAAAGGTGGCCAAGGACAGGCAGTTATCTCAAACATCCACACAGCCAGGGCTTCTCCCAATACTGGACTGGACACTGCTCTTTTACTTCAACCCCACAAGAAGCTGTTGACTTGAATTTAGGGCAGTGTTGTGTAAAAGTTTATTTTATGTGTATTTAAAAACTAGAATTTCCCTCAGTTCAAAGAAATACACAGCAGACATGTGGAAGCTAAAACTGATTAAAAGAGACCCAAACCTCTCAAAAGTTAAAGAAAGAGAGGAGCAGTCATCTAAAATGAGGGCTCAGAAGGCTTGGGGAATCGAGTATTGCAGAATTTGGCCCTTAGTGATGATGCTGACCTCTAAGCAGCAGCTTTGAAGGGAAAATGCAGGAGGAGGAGCAAAGCTCTACAGGGTGAGTCCACTGTGACACAATGAAAGCAGCAGCAGAAGCACAAGACTGAAGAAGACGTAGGATCAAAATTTTACTATTCCTGTTATGTTATTGGTTTTTAAATTCTCTTCAAAGCACATGAAACTTTGGTGGAGATTTCATTTTTTAAAAAGATTAAAATAGATCTAGGAAGCCAAAACTGTGCGGTAGCTGTAGTTAGCTAGGTGGTACATGAAGTATATTCTTCTGTTTAGCAAACCCTGGTCTCAATTGCTGCTGTTTAAAAAATAGTAACATAAAATGAAATACTCCAATACAACAGAAATATTAACTACATTATATAACCTTCTAAAACAATCTAAGACATCCTTAGTGAATTCAGCATCTTTACCAATCCTTTCTGTTAAATCCATTTGACTTCCCACACTTCTACTTTGTCAGTGGTAGACGCACACTATCTCTGAGCCAGAAGAGCTGGAAAGGTTACCACTCTAAACCTTCTACCCAACGCTGAAAATTCCACCCAACATCCCTAATGGAAGGATGTCATGCATGAAAACGCCTACAGATGCGAAATTTCTAGTTTCGAAAGCACTCCTTTTCCAGTTATAATTATTCTCATTTCCCGGACTGATTTATCTCCTCGCTCCATCTACTTAGCTCTATCCAAAACAAATCAAAGCAGAACAAAACATACCACCTCTACCCACCATGCTCATACACTCCTGAGAAGACACACTGCTCTCCTACTGTGAATGCTCTTTTGGATTTCTCACTTGTTTTCATTACTACTAGTACCCAGCCCTATGCATACTCCCTCTTACCACTGATCACTTCATGCTCCGGACTTTAGCAGCCATTACATTGCCCTGTTCTGTAACATGCCTACCATTAATATTCTGGATTACATCCTCCCTACACTGAGGAAACTACAGGCTTCTTCCGTTTGACTAAGAAGTCACCCATCTCTCTCCAGCTCTCCCAAGGACTGTTATGCAGCTCTGCCCACTGGTCTCTGTCATGAAGCAGCGTCTGCACAATCTGGAGACCATCTCTCTCACTGTCCGTTTCTCCTTCCACTCAAGTCCGCCTTCCTAAGAAGACAATGTGATATTCTCTCCTCACCTGAACCTTGCCCCTGCAGTACTGGGGACTGAACCGAAGGCCTATCCACGGACACAGTCTCTCCAAGTTGCCAACCTGTCTGGGTTAGGCTCAAAATTGTGATTCCCCACTGTACTGGTGTTACAGGCACGTGCCGGGGGCCCCAAGCCCAGGTGACAGGACAGTTCTTGAGCGAAGGCTGTTTCACACTTCCACTGAACCCTTGACGTAATTAGCACAGCAACGAGCACACAAGGAGTGCGCAGGGTATACTTGTTGCTCGGTTTGGGACACTGTTTTAGCCCCCACTAGATTTCTATTTTGAATATACTATTCAACACTCCATCACTGCTTATGTCACTCTCTGCCTGGAACGCTTTCCTCTGTGCTCAGCTTGTGTGAATCTCTCGTTTCTCCTTCAAAGCTCAGCTCCAACAGCCTCTCCAGGAAGTCTTCCCTGACCACCCTAGCCAGAATGAGCAATGCCCCACTGCTCCTTGTAGCATTTTGCTTATAAATCTGGCACATGATTTTGGCAGTTTGTCTCTGAATATCCAGACTGTAAGCCCTTTAAAAGCGGGCGGCAAAATCACGGCATCTGTCTTCGTCTCTGCGTGTTCTCCCTTCCCCACGCACACTTCCTACGGCACCTAATGCTGCCTCCCATGGAACAGGCGATCAATAAACACTTGAGAAAGTGAATGAACTTTTTCCACTAAATCTTTCCTTAAACGCAAATGGTAAAACAAATTTAATAAGCCAAGCACATTAGTAATTGTGAGGTACTTTTAAAAAACAATCTACTGTAATTATTTTAAAGATTATAAACATTCTTTGGTAAAGTCTAACCTACAGGTAAACAAATAGATGACATGACTTTCAAAGGCATTACTGTGACTATGAATCCAGTACTTTGAAATATATACATTCAAACTGCCATCCTGAAAACAACAGGAATAGCATGTATGATGAATCTAAATATACCCTGGGGACTTTCTAGCTGACAAAACGTGTGTGTGTATAAATAATTTTTTCCCTAAGTCATGAGTTCAATGAGTCATCCTAAAATAATATTCAAACTTCAATGTTTGCACGATAGTGTCAAGATTTTGGTGACTTTTATTTTGATCAATTTTTATAACAAGTCAAAAGACATAATAAATATTCAATTACTTCCAACCCAATAACTGCATCAAAATGTGAGAATATACAATTTTGCTATTCTATGAGAACTTAAGTAAGTGGCAGCACAATGTATATTAATCTAGAGCTAATGGCTCCAAAAATCTGAAATACAGCCAGAGTTCTGTTTACTACCTTGTGACCTTGGGTAAGTTAACCCGAGTCTCACTTTTCCTCATGTAAAACAATAGTATCCACTGTACCTCTTAGTATGGATTTATGTAAAGATCAAAGAGATAGCATAAAGTAAGATACAATGCTACTGTCAATTCTGATCTTTAGATAATGCAAATAGCTACACTGTTCTATGATTTTATGAAAAACTGGAGATTAGACTATTCTTTGAAAATGTGATAGATCCTTTCTGCAAAATCATCTGAGCCTGGTGTTTTATTGTGAAAGAAAAATGTTACTTATGCCTTCATTTTATTTAGTGATTATAAATTATTCAACCTTTTCTTTTTCTGGGAATTTTGTTTAAGACATTTTCCTAGGAAGTTGTATATTGTTTAAATTTTCAGACTTACTAGCATAAAGTTCTTCGTATCTGCTGTATTTTATTTAACATTTAAATTATGAATTACAGACATTTTACATTTTCTGCATTATATATTTAAATGTGTAAATACAAAATTAAAATAATTTTGATACGAAGTTTAAAGTAATTTTTGTTGCAATATAGCAAAATAAAACAGTATTTTTTGTATTGCACTGAATACAAACATGCCACTCGACACAATGTTTGTCATTTTACCTGTGGCCTTGGAATGAGTTTATTGATCTCTGCACTTTCCATTCTTTCCCATGACCTAACCTCCTTGAGAGATTATTTACAACAAACACAGGCTTCCCGGTGCACCAGTGACCAGCGGGCACAGAGCCAGGATTTGTTTCTGAAGTGCTACTCTTGTGTCCCCCACCCCAAGCCCCACACATAACCACTGCAGACATATCAGTCAGCCTGTGATCTGGAGTGGAAACGCCCCATCAGGACCAAGTCAGATCATCACACACAAAGAAACGAAGACCCAAGGCAGGAAGCATCACACAGGAGTCTTCAGAGAGAGAAGACTGTATAGTAGAAACTTCTGTGAAAACTGGATCAAGACAGCTTTCAGTACTTTTAATGACTACATAATCAAAAACACATTTACATCTTTGCTTAAAGAAAAGGGTCAATCTATATCTTGTCTCGGGTTTTATATTTTCAGGGAAATAGGTACAAGAATACAAATCCACATAAACGTCTTACATTACAGTAAAAATGTGTTGAAATGAACTCCTTTGTTTGTGCCACTAATTCACACAGGCCCGGGCTTTGAGGGAACTGCGGTGTAGACCGAGTGGCGTCTCCACCACAGGCTTCCTCATCAATGACCTTCTCATCTCATATACACAGGGCCTATTCCTACAGCTGTTTCCCTAAGTACTTTGCTTGATACAAATTGCTAACGGCAGGAAGAAATGATTTAACATGTACAAAAGGATTAGCCAAACTCAAAATATCTAGAGTCGAATAGAGATATCTAACAAATTATTAACACTGAGAAACCTTCAAAATACTAACAGTACATGTGACCAATAGCACCTGAACAATGGATAACTCAAAGAACAAGGCTACGTGACCACATCTGCTTGTCAGTACCATACCTCAGGAGGTTTGAACTCTTCAATTCCACCTTCCATTTTCTGTTTAAGTGCACTGTTTACTTGCTTAGCATTCTGAACCTTCAACAAAATAAGCCAAAATATGAATCAGACAATGTAACAGGTAGATGTTTAAGCATTCAAATAAAACAAAAGGATATACACTAAAACTCTCTTAGATTTTATTTCAGAAGAACAGACATACTTATCACACCCAGGGTGTGGTAGACTACCCATTCAACAAATATACATTTCAGTGGACACACACATTTACTAGAGCTTCAATTAGACTTTAATATTATAAGTCAGTTTTCAAATATATTTTACCAGTATCTTTATGACCAAAGCAACTGACACAGACACCAATTCAATTCCACCCATATTTCTCATTACCATAAAATTCTGACCAAATAGCAATCATTCCTAGAGGAAAATGACGATGGGTAATATTTATTATGTATTTATTATGTATAAAATCTCATTCTTGGTAGTTTATACATAATAAATAACAGTAATTCTCACAACAAACTGTGAGGTAAGTACAATCAGTTCTGCTTTAACACAACGTATGTATTTTTGAAAAGTCTCAAGCTCAAGGTCCTGAGTTCAAGCCCCAGTACCAAAAAAAAAAAAAAAGAAGTCATTATACTATGCAAAATCCACAATAAAAACCACAGGTTTTAGGGAGAAAAGGAGGTTGGGATACGACACTCAAAACCTTCATCAGTGACAAACAAGAAAAGAAAGAAAAATAAGGCAAGAGTTTTGTACATTAATTGGTTACGAAAATAAAACATGTGGGGCTGGGGATATATAGATAGCTCAGCGGCAGAGCATTTTCCTAGTATGTGCAAGGCCCTGGATTTAATCCCCAGCGAAGAAAGGGAGGCAGGAAGAAAGCTAATAAAAAAGCAAAGAGGGAGAAAGGCAGGGAGGAAGTGAAGGAGGGAAAAGTGAAGGGAGGGAAACAAACCCATAAATGCTACAGGATGCTAAAAGTTACATCCAGGAAAAGCTCTGAAGGCTAGTGCAGAAGTGAGCATCCAAGAGGCTGCAGCTTGTGAGTTATTATTGCAAAGGGGTAAGATGGTTGTTTTAAGATCAGATGTCCGTGCTTCATGACACAGTGCACTCGGGTAGCTGGTACACATCCGAATTGTGTAGTTTTCCACTGACTAGATAGATCATACTTAAGCAAACAGAAAACTCACACTATGCTCAAATTGATACCTGGTATATCAACTGCACTGGAATAAATCTGTTTTTAGAACAAGTTAGAGCAGAACTGACTGTACTTCTATTATCACCATTTTACAGATTAAGAATGTGAGGCAGTGAAGTTGAGACTTTCCAAAGCCACAAATGCAGAAGGCACAATGTGTATTTAAACTACACTACAGCTGCACTTACACTGCTATTCTGCCAGCACTACTGTCATTTCCATTTAGAACATTAAAGGTGAAGATTTTCTTTTCTTTGTGGACACCTCCCCCAAAAATATGTCTAAAGTGATTTGTGAATTTTTTTTCCACCAGAGATCTTAAAAAGACAGATAAAATGTATAAATGTTAGATGGCTCAAGGTAAGCTGGCCATGTCAGAGACTTACAGGTATAAAACATGGTCTTTCAAGGAACTCATAGAATAAAGGGAAGATAAATGAATACACAATATGATAAATGCTAAAACATCTAACATTATCAGGGAGAGGGACAGAGAATGAGTAAACTAGTGAATGTGCTGGCATGTGTGTGGCTGGGTGGTGACAGGGAGGTCTAGGGAGAATGCTTCACAGAAGCTGACCCTCACCAGGAAGGACTGGCCCGCATCAAGCAGGCCAAGACAGGCTGCGGAGAAGGCGGGCACTCTGGGCACTCCGGGAAGAAAAGCATTTAGGGAGGGAGCAGCACCCAATGGCTGGGCAGGAAGTCAGGCTGGGGCCAGGCCGAGGAATGTGGATTCTGCCTAATGACGGAAGGAAACAAAGTACTCTGAAGCACATGAACAACACGACATTTCCCTTTAGAAAAGATACTTCCAGGAATAGGAACAGAATGGGATGATAGAGATGGATTCATTTAACAGTCCAGATGAGAAACATTAAGTAATTAAGAAAACTTCCATAGGAACAGCAGGAATGAAAGGGTGGCGGTACTACAGCTGGGGTGAAGAGACAAACTGGAAACAAGGCGAGGATCTCCTTGTAAACACTGCACTGTGGGAAAGTAGGAGGAACCAAGGACACCTGGCCAGCGGAGTGGCCCAGGGAATGCAGAATCACGCAGGGATAGGCGCAATCAGTCTGGACATGGCGGATGTGTCCTGTTTGAGACAAGCCCAGACACAAACCTTTACCATGTGACACTGTCAAAAGAACTGGGAAAAAGATTAAAGCTTAAAATGAAGTTCCTTTTACAAGCCAGTAAAAGGCAGTAGTACTGTGGATGAGCAGGAATACAGGTGACAGAGCACATTAGAAGTTTTCTAGAAAAGTGTTGTGTTTGAGAAGATGGCGTCTTAACTCGAGGGTAAGCACTCAATCCCCTATAATATGTACACCCAAGAGAGGCCAGGGTCTCAGAAATCCGGAGAAAGGAATCCCAAAAAGCTAGAAACGGCTGTGGTAAACATTACTGAGTAGTCAAGGGAGAGAAAACCAAGACAGAGACATGAGACCTGGTGATTCAGTCACAGGGGTTGGGGGGGGCGCACAGCAGAGGGGTCTTGTTAAATCGCCCAGGCTGGCCTCAAACTTGCAGTCTTCCTGCCTCAGCCTCCCAGCGTGCTGGGGTGATGGGTGGGCAGGTCCAGGCACAGACGACCTCAGGATAAGCTTCTCCAGTGGTAGAACTGCAATGGGGTACGGGCAGAAACCAGACTGGAAAACTCAGAATAAATGGTGGCAAGAAAGCGGAAGAAGCTGACGTGTGTATTTATGCAGGAAGTTTGCTACGGGAGGAGAGAAACACAAGACCAGTTTGGGTGAATAATCAGGGCCAAGGGATGGAGAAATCTGAACACGTTTCCTTAAGACAGAGGGCCATGGTCCCAAACTATATAACGGCAAAGACCTTACACTTTACATTAAAACGGAAGTGATACAGAATTGTCTGTTTTATCAGTGAGGTTACACATTTCCTTCAAACTTTTCAGTAGTTTTGTACTATAAGATCAAATTTCTTAATCGCATCACATGAAAATGAGAATGAGACATGTTCGTTTTTCTAAAGATCAAGTTTTCCAAATACACAGTGATAAACTTGGGATGTGTCACAGGAGGAAAAGCTGAACGATGTGAATATGACAGGACCACAGCACGCCCACTTTCGTCTTTCAGCATCTCTAAATTCAGGCTGAATTTCGAATTTCTTGACATCACCTTTACAGCCTGACTACCTCCTCTGCAACCTGTTAGAGGGGAGTGGGCAGAAGACTGAACTTCATCACCAGCACTGCAAACACTAAGCCTGGAAACTACACGCCATCTGGGGCTAGAGGCGCAGACAGAAAGAATAAGACAGGCCGTCGGCCACGAGGAGGTGGGGCCTGAAGCAAGGCTAGCCCTCATGTGGGGGCGCAGGCCTGTCATCTCAGCACTCAGGAGGCTGAGGCAGGATGGATCTCAAGTTTCAGCCTAGATTGAGCCATAGCAAGTTTAAGGGTGGCCTGGACTACAAAGGGAGACCCTGTCTCAAAAAACAAAAACAAACAAAAAAACCCAAAACCAAGTAAACAAAAATTTAAAGGAGATTTCAGAGCTAAACCATGTAAGTCGATCACCACTGCCTGGGGGAGGGACAGCAGCAAGGATGAAGGGTAAGATTCTGTTGTTTCCAGTGAAAGGAAACAGAGGCAAAAGCAATCTTTCCAAGGAAGATCTAGAGGCAGCTGGAACTACAGCTGCAGACCTGGGAGGGAGATTCACAGCGCGAAAAAAACAGGCTCAAAAGTCAATGGCAGATAGCGCAGGGTTGGCTGATTTAGAGAGCATCTAGATCTAAGGGAGAGGAAAAACAACGGAGCAAACAGAAGCAGGAAAAGATTCAGACAGGCCAGAGACTGCATAACCACTCACAGAGAACTTACTGTATCAGGTGCTGTTTTAAGCACTTATTGTATATTATCTGATTTAATTCCTTCTGACCACCTTATTTTATTTTTTGCAATTTATTTTGAACTCAGAGGCTTGAGTACTCTACCACTGAGCTACATTCTCAGCCCTTCTAACTTTTTTTTTTTTTTCTGAAACAGGGTCTTCTTACATTTCCCAGGCTTCAAATTTGGGATCCTCCTGCCTCCGCCTCCCGAGTAGTTTGGATTACAAGAACCACATTTTAATTCTCATTTCCAGGTAACTGAGCTGAGAAGTTAAACACCTCTCTAAAATCATGTAGGTAGGAGTTAGGATAGCCAAGTCAGAACATAAGGGTTCACAGACTCTAGGTCCTGACTCTTAGCCACCACTGGATCATGACAATATTCTTTCAGGAGTATCGCTGCTACTAAAGAAGACAGCAGTTCTTACTCACTGAGCATTCAAGATGTGCCAAACACTTGAATAATGTACCTGTGTCACTGCAAATACTGCTGAACAGTCTATAAGAGAAGTCTGATTATTATCCCTCACTGCAGCCTGGAAACTAATGCTTAGCAAGGTGATAAGATTTGGCCAAGACTAGAGCACTCAGTCAGCAATTCAGGGATTCCATCGGACAGCTAAGAAATCTGTGAACAGCAGAGTTCCCCTAGGTGGAAGTGGGCAAGCAAAACGGACAGAATCATCAGATGTATTCTTTTTATAAAAAATACCTGGCGTTTTAGCGAGATCAGCTCCATGTCCAGTTGCCTCAGGATGGTGTTGGCCGCATTGGGACTACAGGAAACTGCGACCACGTCTTCCTGGGTCAGGTACATGCCCTTCGGGGGGCGGCACTTAGAGCGCTGAGAGTGATGGCGGTGCTGCAAGCTCTGGTACTCTCTCCTGCCCAGCCCAATCTTGCTAGTTGGGACAGGCTGTTCAGTGTTGCCCTAGGATGAAGACAGTAACAGGCTGTTTCTTCCACAAACCAAAACCAGTTTACTATCAGTGTCTGTTGCACTAAGTACACCTGAAAAATACTTCTAACCAATTACATAAGCATTCACCAGCTGGAGTGGGGAAGCATACAACACGCTTCAAAAAAAAGGTTCTTGCAAACAGAATTCAACACACTGAAAAGATCATACACCATGACCAAGGTGATTTCATCCAGGAATGATGCAAGGGTGATTTGGCATATGCACATCAATAAATGTGATATACCACGTAACTAAAATGTAATATACCATGCAACTAACTAGAATCAAGGGGAAAAATCACAAATCACCTCCACAGATGCAGAAAAAACAGTAAAATCCAAGATTCCTTCATAATAAAAAATAACCTGAGGAAAGTAAGTATTAAAGGATCTTTCTTCAAAATGATAAAAGGCATGTATGATAAACCCACAGCCAATATCATACTGAATAGGAAAAACTGAAAGCATTGTTTCTGTGGATCAGGAATGAGACAAGCGTGTGTGCTCTTACCATTTCTATTCAGTACAGTACTTGAAGTTACAGCCACAGCAATTAAGCAGGATAAAGAAATAAAAATGATGCAAACAGGAAAGAAGGAAGTCAATTATCCCTGTGTGAAGACAGCATGATTCTTTACATAAAAGACTCCCAAAAAACTCCCCCAGAAGACTCTTGGATCTGATACGGAAATTTAGCAAAGCAGGATATAAAATCAACACACAAAAATCAGCAGTGTTCTCGCGGACCAGTGATGCCAAGCCTTTTAGAGCTTTCAACGACATAAACAGCCCGCTGCGGCACACGTGCCATAGGTTTGCCAGTACTGCTAATGAACCCACAAAGACAGAAATCAGGAAAACAATTCTACTCACAATAGCTTCAGCAAAAATAAATACCTATGAATCAACCTAGTCAAGGAGGCGAGAGTCATCTAGAATGAACATTACAGAAACTGAAGACAGAAATTCAAGAACACATTAGAAAACAAAAAGATTGATCTTCCTTGTTCATCAGTTGGCTGATCTAAAATGACCGTATTACCAAAAGAAGAATCCTACAGATTCAGTATGATCTCTATAAAAATATCAACAACCTCCTTCATGGAAGATCAATACCAACAACTCCTAAAATCCATATGAAATTGGAATAGCCAGAGCAATCCTGAGCAAAATAGTGGAGGCATCAAAACATTGCATTTCAAGTTACACCACAAAGCCCTCACAACAAACAGACGTGTACCTCAGTGGGACAGAACAGAAGACACAGAAATGACCCCACACACCTACAGCCAGCTGAGTTTCGACAAGGGGGCCGACAATGATATGCTAGGGAAAAGACAGCCTTTTACCAAATAGTGCAGAGAAAGCTGGTTATCGACATACAGAAGATTACAATTAGATTTCTCTCACCCTGTACTAAAATCAAATCAAAATGGATCAGTGACTAGGTAGAAAAGCAGACACTCCGGAACTGCTGGAAGAAACACAGAAAAAACACTTGAAGCCACAGGCACAGGCATAAATTATCTGAGCCGAATGGATATTTCTCAAAAGAAGAACAAATGTCCAACAGGTACAAGAAAAAACATTAAATACCTTTAGCCATTAGGGGAATGCAAATTAAAAATACTTTGAAATTCCTTCTCACTCGTCAGAATTATTACCATCAAGAACAGAGAAAACAATGAACACTGCAAGGATGGCAGAAGGGTCTTTCCTATACTGCTGGTGCCAACGTAAACTAGGACAATCATGATGGAAACTGGAAACTAAAAATAGAACTACCACTTAATCCAACTATTCCAACTCCTGGGAATATTCCCCAAAAAACTAGAGACAGCACACTACAGTCAGTGGTGATACATGCATGCCCATGTTGATAGCACAATTCCAAGTAGCTAAGTTGTGGAAACAACCTAGATGCCTATCAACAAATGAATAGAAAATTTGCTTCTGAGCTCAAGGGAAAGTGAGGAAATTCCTCAGAGCCCAGAAATGATGAAAAGCAGGAATCTACAGGGATAAGCAAATATGCAGGAGCTAGCATTTGCCTAAAACCCAGGCTTCAGTGGACAACTAGCTGGTCCAGGGCATGTGTGACACAAAGCCACAGTGCTGAGAAGGGTCATTCACTGTGTGAAGTAGAAAAGTACTGCTGCACTGCAGAAGGGTGAGGATGACTACGACATGCCCATCTCTCTTGGGTGGGGACAACGGAAAGAGGACAACGGAAAGAGAACTGCTCTTCCCTGAGAACCCTCAACCACAACACTGCCTTCAGCCAGGTTTGGGGCCTAAATTTTATGACCTGTTTAATTTGAAAAACCCCAAGTCAAAAATTTAAAGTGTCTCAGGCTGGTAGTGCCTATGGACACTCAGCAGAAACAAACACACACGGTCTCCAGAAAATTCCAGTCTCATGCGTGTGTCAATGACCAAAACAGATCTTCACTAAATGAACTTCTAAAGGAAATACATTATGAAGAAAGGGAAATTACGTTCTAAGGGTGAACTAAAATTCAAGATGCGAGGTGTGGTGGTGCATGTCTGTAATTCCAGCACTGGGGAGGCTGAAGCAGGAGAATCACTGTGAGTTTGAGACCAGCCTGGGCTACACACAGTGAGTTAAAGGCCAGCCTGGGCAACACAGCAAGCCTGTCTCATTAAAAAAAAAAAATCAAGAATGGTAAGCAAAATAAGTTAATAAGTTAAACATGTAGGTAAATCTGAAACATCAGCGATATATTTAATTTCAAAAAATAACAAAAATCAGAGGGGCAGTAGAGCCAAAGCATTCTAAAGGCTTTGTGTTCATCAGAAAGTCATTAAAGATATCAATGCTGAATTTTAAGTTAAATACACAGAACGAAAATCTCCAGAGTGGCTTCTCGTGCACCTGCGTGGTGCACATGCACTGCCTGGACTAAGGCTGTGGTAGCAATGGACTCTGGACTGAGATACCAATCCCCAAACAAGAAGGGCCAGGAGTCCTCGAGAAGAGAGAACTCAAACAGTGAAAATATTAAAAATTCCATGTTGATTAAAGGGGAAAATACGAGTCTAACAGTGACACACTACTTAGACACGTGAATGCATCTTTTGAAAAAAAAAAAAAAAAGTATGGTGTTCTGAAAAAAGAAACATTGCAAGACCCTTTGAGGATAAGACATTGCTGGAATTCTTTTTAAAGACGTCAGATTATTCTTTATTCGCGTTTACCTTGCGGAGTAAGCTGCCAAATAACCTGGGAGGGTTGTATGCATGACAACCACGTGCTGGAGATGACTGAATTAGGTACTGAGAAGCCCTGTGTCTCTAAATGTCCTGAAGGAACAAAACCCACGTTGTTATCTGCTGGTGAGAGAACTAAACTTCTTACTGATTTCTTCAGAGGCCCCACAGTGTCAGATGATCTGCCCGGTGGATTATGTCATGTTCTGCACTGCCCTGCACTGAATGGGAAGGTTTACTTTCAAAGCTCTACATTGCTGTTAAAAAAAATCTGGTTGTAGAACACCATGGACTGAACTGGAAGACAAAAGGACCTTCACTGTACCTGGTCCTTCAGGGCTCACACCTAGAATCAGATGATCTTTTAAATCACCTATGAAAATGCCTGAAGATCCGAAGCTAAAGAAGAAAGTATCTCACATGATATTTCTGGTAAACTTACGAAAGGATTAACAAGAGGAAACAAAAGCTAAGCAAACTATAAATCAGGAAAATGAAGGCACTGAAGAAACAACCTGCAGAAAGGACAACAGGAGAACAGGAAAAAAAAATCAAAGAATTAAAAAAATTAATGAAACTTAGCTAACAATTAATTTTATTGTGGTCTATTTACTTAAAGGAATTGTCAAGCTTCAGTGAAACTATTAGAAAGTAAAAGAATGGAATAAGAAATGGATTTTTAATACCTTAAAAAAAGGTACAAAGTACAGGAAACTAGAAGACATCATATGGAAGGTAAAACTAGGAAAAAAACCCCAAATATATCAAGGATCATGATCAATATAAATGGCTTAAATCTTTCAGGTAAAATATAAAATCCTAGCTATATGTTCTTTGTAAGATACATACTTAAAATGTGAGGACACAGAAATGTTGAAGTTAAAATGAAGTTATACCAGGCAAATACTTAACAAAAATAAGACAATGGAGCTATATTATACCTTTAACAAAAATAAGATGGAGCTATATCATGCCTTTAAAGCAAGACTTAAAGAGATGAAAATGTCTCTACATATCGATAAAAGGCTCAGATCAGGAGTAAGATAAAATAATTCTAGATTTTGTATGCACCTAGTGACTATACTTTAAAATACAAAAAAGCATTACTTCTCAATCTGATTGAACAAAATAACTGATAAGATGACCAGACAAAAATAACCAACTAGCAAGTAGGCAAGCAATAAGAATACAGATTTCAACTACAAAACTGACAAATTAAATGACACATTTAAAACCTTAAAACCAATAGAGTATATTTTCTTAAGTACACATAGAAAAATATTTATGAAAATTCCATATTCTAGGCTTGGAGGTTTCAAACACGTCAGGAAACATAACACTCCTGACATGGAGATGCAGGGGTCTCTACTCAGTCCCATTTTTTCTGGGCAAAGGTTAGTGACTCACCTCGAAGCAATGGAGTAACTCCAAGGCCAGTCCAGACATGGCTGGGCAGCTGCTTAGTTCTTTGGGGATTGAGTGTTTTGGAGGAAACCAGTCATTCTATTAAGAAGCCACATTGCTCAGCCCAGCAGGCTACAAGGCTGCATAGAACTGCTGCAGCTAGAAGCCAGCACCAACTACAGTACTAACAATTAACAATGTGAATGCACTACAAACCTTCAATAGCACCCTACGTGATGGTGAAGTAGGAAAATCATTCTAAAAGGAGGAATAAGAAAAAAATAGTTATCATAGCTTCTACTCAATATTGTACTGGTGATTCTAACCAGTTCAGGAAAGGCTAAGAGGGGTTAGAAGTGTGGCTCAGTGGTAGAGTCTGTAAAAGAAAAAAGAACGAAAGGGAGGAGGGATGGTGAGAAGCAAAGAGGGGGAAAAGGAAGGAGAGAGGGAGGGAAGGAAGGAAGGACTGAAAGCCAGAACTGCTATTATTTTCAGGTCAAGTAAATCTCTACAGAGCAAATCCAAAGCAATCTACAAATAAACTATATAAAGGATTCATTTCTGCGCCTTTTACAGAGCAAAGGGAAGACCTGGCAGGGCTGTCCTACACGTGTGATAGGCCAGAAGAGTGAAGGCCCAAGAACGGCCACTTTCTTACTACTTAGGACCTGCGAAGCAGCGGAACTTGCTTTAACAGCTATCAAGACCCACTAGAAAGCTGCAGTAATTCAGATGATCTGGGGCTGACAAGGGGTATTTAACGGACAAGAGGAGCAAAAGAGAGGGCCACACATACACAGGAGTCCCCTATACAATAACGCTGGTACTGTCGGCCAACTGAAAAGGATAAAAATGGATTTCTACCTTGACATGAAAAAATGTATTTACTGCCAGGTCAAGTGAATAAAGGTAAAAATGAAAACTTTAAAACATAAGAAGAAAAACTTTAAAAAATATAAACTAAAATATGGAATTTTGAAAATGTACATATTTTTCATGAAGTAGCTGTTCTCCTAAGCCCAAGGAGTAAACAGATAAACTACAAACACTATACACAATCAGAAAAAGAATTCAAAAAAATTTTTAAATATTTTCGGTCTTTAAGATAAATATCCAATACAACAGTAGGTAAAATTAAAAATCCCAAACAAAACAAGCACTTAAAAAGATATACCAGGGCCAGGGATTTAGCTCAGTGGTGCCGCCATCTGCCTCTCAAGTGCAAGGTCCTGAGTTTGCAAAAGATATACCAAACAGCCAATAAACAGATGGAAAAGTATTCAGCTTCATTAATAATCTGATGAATGAAGCTGAGAGCACCATGTGATACCACCTCTTACTTTCAGATTTGTAACATTATTATCAAATATTGGCAGGGAAATAGACAGTGGACACTCACTGCCCAACAGAAGTATAAAAATACAGAAGACTCTCTGGTCATTACCCAGTTAGGCTGAAAACAGCCATCCTCTAAAACAGGTGCTTCTGCTTTACAGTCTCAGAGCACCACTGCTCAGTAAGTCACCGCTGGCAGTCTGTGGAATGATCCGTGTGCGCACTTCAGGTAGCTGGCATCCTTTTCCCCTGCCCACGCTATGACAGTGGTGCCTAACAATCACTGTAACAACGAAAAGCACTTCCCTAATTTCTAAATGCCCTTCATGGGGGCAACGCTAAATCCTGGTGACAACTATGGTCCCCAAGGACTGCACAGACAGCCCGTACAAGCTCCTATCAGCCCTCCTCATCACCCTCCCAACCCCCACTGGAGATGATGCCCAGTGGTTAGAGTGGATAAATTACAGCGTGTATATACAGTGGAACGCTAACATGCAGCAATAAAAATGAATCGCCAAAAGTAACAAGTACTAAAAAATACATACAATGATTCCATTTTTTAAAAGTTTGAAATGTTCAAAACAAAATGACAATTACTCAGCAATACATATATGTATGTGATAAAACTATTTTTAGAACTATTTTAAAAGGCATAAATAATAAATTTCAGGACAGTGGTTTCCTCTGGAGAGAAAGGAAGGGTATACAACTGAGGAAACATACAAACAAAATTTTTGTTTAAGATTAGTAATGGATACACTGATTTATATATGTATGTGTGTATATATATATATATATATATATATTTTTTTTTTTTTTAGTTCTTACTAACAAAAAGTTTACTAGCCGGGGATAGGGGTGTGTGTGCGTGAGAGAGAGAGAGAGGTGGGGGAGGGCCTATGAGTAAAATGGTACTGATCAAAACAATCAAAACTGCAGCAAATTTAAGGAAAAATAAGGTAGTTGTCTATTCAAGGTAAAGGACAAAATTTGGTAAAGAAGTCACTTACTTACATCTTACAGACTTATGAGGAATTTCATACGCAGATTTGGGGGAAAAGAAAATTCCAGAGAAAAAGGAACACAAGAACAGAACAAAGGCCAGGGAACTGCAAGTATTTCTAACTTGAAGTATGTGGGAGGGGTGGGGAATGCCTAACTGGAGAGTTTAGTGTTTGACCCTGGAGGCAAAGCAATGGAAAGGTTGCAAACAGCAGATCTGATTTTAATACTGCTTTGGTGACAGGAGGGCCAATGGGCTGGGGGGGGGGGTGTGCAGTCTGCCGTGGGGCACTCAAAGAGAAATCGGGACAACCCAGATAAGAGAGGAGACCCGAGCAGTCAGATAGCAGAGCAGAGGACAAACGTCAGGTGCTGACAGTTAAACACAATAATGGCAAAATGAATGCAGTAAGTGGGAAAGAAAAACACCACTAAAATTGAGACAGTGGTGAAGAGGTACACAGGACTGAGGAAGGTGACACCAAAGTAAAAGATTCTAAAGAGGGGACGGGTCAGTAATGTGAAAGGAGAAAGCACGTGTGGGACAAAGGGAACAACCAGTCTCTTCCTAACCAACCGTGGGCAAGCCGCTGCCTGCCCAGCGGGCACTTTCAGGGGACAGGAGACCCTGCCTGAGGCAAGGCAGTGCTAAGAAGCGGGGTGCTCTTCTAGAGTGGCTGAGAGTCAAGCACTCAGAGGGAAGACCTGAACATGCTCCCAGGCTCCGTGAAAAGGATGGAAATACGGGAGAAGAAGGGGTGCAAAGCCCCAGAATACATAGAAGTGGATACCATCAAACAAGCAGTGAAACTGTAGAAAGCAGAAGCAGGAACCTTTCATATTGTGAGAAAAGCATTTGGGCACAAGACTGTTCATGTGAGAAATAGTTACTGCACACTGGCCAGATGCAGTTATTGTGCACAGCACTGCGGATGAAAGACACATAACTCAATCCCTGACTTCAAAGAACCCACAGCTCAGTGGGCAAAGGAGGATGCAGCCTGAGGTGAAAGGGTAGTCCAGCACGCAGCTAGAGGAAGGCAGGCGCAGACTGCGTGGCAGTGCCTGGCCTGCCGGGTGTCTCCTTCGTGAGATGCAAGGTGAGCTCACCTGCCAGGTGTTGGAGGGGCGGCAAGCGTCAAGACACGTCAGGCCAGGTGTGGGAAGCAGTGAGCACTCACCATAGCTGCCAGGTAATAAGTCACTTGTGTCCAAGATTTACTGTGGCCTAGTACTTCAAAGTGAGCCTACCATTTTAATTTTGCCAATGAAGCAACTGAGACCTAGAAGTTAAAATCTGAGAGGACTATCCTGAGATTGGAAGCTGCGTTTCTACAGTGTTTATGTTATAGTATGTTTATTGTGTTTTTACAGTAGCAAATAGTCACATAATTGAGTCTACCTTACTGTGCTTCTCAGTCCAAGAATGCACCCGATCCCGCATTTTAGGGTTACATGAATACAAAAGAAAAGGTTATAGCAGAAGAGTAAGGGAAACGGGGAGTAAAATAAATGCAGAAATGGGGGAGAAAGCAATTCAAGGAATTAACCACTCTAGGTCTTGGTCTTGGCTCAAGGAAACAAAGGCTAAGCAGCCTGTGGAGGGAGGAGGGAATGAAGGAAGCAAGAATTTCAGAATATACAGCAGTAGAAAGACAGTGAAATACCAAGTTGAGGCAGAGTAAGATTTTATAAATTTCATTAGTAGAAGACTTTAAAGTGATGTCAAGGGCCAGACTAAGCCATGAAACTGAGTTTAAGAAAAATGTCAGTCATACTGGATGAGGTCACACACTTCGTAAACAGTTAAGTTTAAACAAACCCAGTTACTGTCTCCAATTTCAACATTATTATTCCAAAGCTCCCATGTACCTCATAAGCCTTAATCTACATTCTGACTATATTTCTTTTCTAATCTCAGTTAACAAACTCAGTACCTCAGTTTACAAACTTAATTTAAGATTTTGGAGAAGATGGCTGTTTGTGTTTATGTGGGGAAGACGGCCATGGTCATGTTTGTCATCCAGTGTAGAGTTTGTGAATGAAAGCAAAATTTCGCCAAATGCTGTTTGCATCCTGAATTGTTTACAAACAGGCACATTGTGAACCGAGGTGTCACTGTAACTCCTTGCCTTGTTACACAGAGCCCATGTATCAGTTTAGTCTCTTCATCATCCTATCATGGCAGATGAGCAGTTTTCTAGTTGAGGACTCTTTTCATCTCTCCTTCTGAGGCAGCTTTCAATTTTCACTGCTATGCAGTATCTGCTACTACTTTAATTTGCTATCTGAAACCAACAAAATGTTTCCAAGAAAAACTAGGTGATAAACCCAGAAAGCTTAATTTTATACCTAATAATATGTCAGGGGTAAGAGTGTTTTTATTTGTTTTCTATACATTAAAGACTAGGGATTGAGGCAGGGCTCCTATATCTGACTAGACGAGATAACCCCCAAATTATTCAAGATATTGGTTCACTATGGTTCCAGTGAGTGTATTTCCAAAACCCCCCACTCAGGATTGAAATTTACTATCTCCTAAGCCAGTGGTGCAAACCTATGGGACACTTGTTACTTGTTTTTAAGACAAAAGATGTTAATGTATGAGTTGTTTTGTCTGTTTTTTGGTACCAGGGATTGAACTTGGGTCCTTGCACTTGCACAGCAGGCGGTGAAACCACTGAGCTAAATCCCCGGCCCTGAGTTGTTTTTTTTAAACTAGAGCCTCAGTATTCAGGTTGAACTGTGGTGTTGGCACTTTGCAATAAATATGTGGGTTTTGGGCTGCAGTTTGGGCACTGGTCCCTAAAAGGTTTGCCATCACTATCCTGAACCATTATATAAAAGGGTTTGGTTTCTTTTTTTTAACATGAAACACTCCTCCCTCATCCTTTGAGATTTATAGAAAATTTACAAGTACTTCTAGTATTCATTACCTCGTTTTTGGCTTCTTTTTTAGGATCATAATCACTATCATTCCCATCCATTGGGTGTGTTTCTTCCACATCATCATCACTACAAAAGAAAGATTGGTAAACTTTTTACTTTTATTCCAGTGCACCTATCAAACCATAATATTATTTCTAATAATTTTACTAAATATTCCTTAACAGAACAAGAAAAGTCTTTGAGAAGATGAGATCATAATTTAGATTACTGTAGTGTTTAGAAACACCTTTTGGGGCTTAAAGTATCATTTTAGCAAACATTTCTAGCTAAAAAAATACTTAATGGGAAAGAGATTTAGAAAAAAAAATCATTTGAGAAAGAAAACACAAACAATTTGAAATAATACTTATAATTTTAGTTTTTAGTTGAAAAGTAGAGTAATGATTTTATACTACCAGGCAATACAGTCACAGAAACAAGGACTTTAGTTACTAGGGTAAGTGCAGGAAGGACCCTTCCACGGAACAGGGTTTTTAATGTATTCTAAATATATGTACTGACTACATCAACACTAAAAGGAAACATGTGTAATTATACTTGGAAGAGAGCATTCTTTTGGTACCGAGGATCGAACTCAGGTCTTTGCGCTTTCGGGGCAGGTGGCAGAACCACTGAGCTAAATCCCCGGCCCCATGAAGAGCATTCTTAATATTAAGACTTTTGACCACTTGGCTTTTTCCTGTCAGAGTAGAGACATAAATGTTAAGAATAGAAAGAATTTCCAGTGTGTGGTGACAATTTTTGTGCCCTATAAAACATAAGCAACCCAATGCAATGTGCCTAACAGCGGGACTTAACAGATGCAGCCAACCTACCTGTCCCCCTGATTACGTCTACTGGCTAGTTTACGAGCCTGGCGATCCATTAAACTGGTCCTAGAGCGAGTTTTTTTCCAAGAATAGTAATATTTTACAAGGCTTGCAATTGTCTTATCTGGAAGCTTTAAAAAAATCGTGTTAACATTAGCAGGATTAATTCATTAAACTCTGACAAAATGAATAACATTACTCTTTGATAATAAGAACATAAATGGAAACTATTGGATAGGTACCTTTATGAACTATAAGAGCTAGAAAGTGCTGTGACGACAGTCACAGCACCCCACACACCAATGTCATTCCCATTTCTCAATTGGTATTACTATCTGGTCTAGGGAGAAGAAAAGGATGTCACAAACTAACTTAGTAACAGTGTCCCCAGAGGTCCCCAGCACAGCCATGTTAGTATTTACTATTTCTTTCCTTAAAGAGCTCCTCAATTCCCAGTCCCCATATACACTGGAATTTTGAGATATAATTCAGGTAACATAAAGTTCACCATGTAAGGTGTACAGTGCAGTGGCTTTTGGTATACTAAGGTGTACCGTCACGTCTATCTAATGCCGTAATATTGTCCTAACCTCAAAAAGAAACCCCATACCTATTAGCATCACTGGAAATTTCATACAAATAGAATCATACTGTATACCGTCTTTTGAATCTAGCTTCTTTCATTTAGCAAAATGTTCTCAAGAATAGCTAGTCTATTATTGTTTTTTAATCACTGTTTTAAATCTATTCTTAAGATGACAAATAATGCAAACAGACTTTAGCCACGAAATAAAGTCTTGAGGTATGAAAATAACTAATGATCATGCACTCATCTGTCACACTAGCAAATGAGACAAATTCCCTACCAAAAATGTTCTCTTCAATTATAGACGGTACCTAGAAGTATTTGTAAACATTACCTAAGTTTTATTTATTCCAGTTAAAATATTTTAATGCAGTAACTTCTCAGACTTACATTATTTTGATAAAATACTAAACATTTAAGAACTAGAAATACAGCACAGTGATTTCCCTTACCAATCAAAAAAACAGCAACACCTGAACAACACTGAAATAATACAGATTTTTAAAAAATGGGCTTTCATATCCAAAAACATGTAAATTAACCAAATCCTGAGGTCAAAATATAAAACATTTAAAAATAAAGTTGAAACTATGACTTTTTTTCTGAACAACAAAAATTTTTTTTTTGGTACTGAGGATCGAACTCAGGACCTTGTGCTTGTGAGGCAGGTGCTGGGTCACTGAGCTAAATCTCCAGCCCAAGAAACAACAAACATTTAATAACTATGCCATACATATTTTTGTCAAAATAAAAATGTCACCCCACTGTCATGGATGAATGATCATAGAAAATAGAACTGTATGCAAGCAAATATATCTATTTCAGTATAGTTTTTAAATTAAAGTCAAGTTGGAAAGCATTTTCCTATTTAATAATTGGGATATATTGAATAATATTGTAAGATATATTACAAAAGACTAAAATCACCATACCATTTGCTGAATCCTGTGAAAGCTCTTCCCGTGAAAACTAAAGGCTTGCTCAAATAGGACTTTATCTTCCACTGTCCACTCATCCGGAAAGGGAGTGAAATTAGGGAGATCAGCAAGGGACTTCTCAATGTTATGCTTATGCCAGAACAGCATGCCAAGTGCCTTTGAAGAGAAATCATTCCCCTTGGTCTTTAATGGACTTATGTTCCATTAAGTTCAACACAAAGTTCACAAAGTTCCACAAAGTTCAACATATTAGATAAAAATTTTAAGCCTATGACTTCAACTTAAGATAAAACTCAGTTCAGGATTTTTAATCAGGGCTGCTCAGATAGCGGACCTCATTTACTTATTTCTTTTAAATCAGGACCTCAGAACAGTCAATGTACATACATACCACATTGCTGCAGAATCTAGGAAAAACAGTGGGCTGGGGTGTGACTTTCATTTCTAAAGCAGACTTGTAGGTTCACGTCAAGACTTTTACTTATTAATTTGCCAATGTGTAGGGAAAAATACGCTAGAAGGAAAATACCCAGTAAATCAATACTTGAATGAAACTACCAGTTACAACACAAAACTAGAAACCCTCAGTTGGGATGTATCAGAGAAATAGCTAAGTTTTACTAACCTTTCAGAAGAATATTGCAGGCTAACGACTTTGAAGAAGTTAAGTGTACCATCACTGCTACTTTAACAATTTAATACATTACCACGTATGCTTTTAATTTTCATTATATATATATACATACCAGAAAGCATATAAGTAACTTTGATGACTTGATAACCAAGTCATAAGAAAGCCTGAAATGGTCAACTTCTGAAAATTCTGTAACTTTCCCCTTTACAATAAGTAGCCTTTTACCTTTACTATAAGGTTATTAAGTATCATTTAGGGGATAAACTTTTATTCTTTAAAAAGTGATATAGTATTTTTAAGTAGTGAGTTTGAAGGTAAATTTTGATGACAAACCTTTGCAATAAACATGAAAATGACCAAATATACAATTACATTGGAAAGGATTAGCTTTGTCTCAAATAAATATTAAAACAGAAATGCAAGGCTTAAAAACAAATAGTGAAAGGCTTCAAAATCTACAAAAAGTTAATTATGTGCATGTGTGTGTGTATACACACAATATATAATATATATACCTCAATTTCAGAAAAATGGTGACTATAATGTTAGCTCTTGGTAACTCAAGATACAGCGATTTCACCTTTCTTCTCTAAAAACAAATTACCTATTTCACTATTAACTCTGATCAAGACTGAGATGACACTTAGTCAAAATGAGACTTGAGAATCTGTTTCAAAGCATACTGCAGTGGTGAGTGCCTGAGCTACCCAGACTGAGACAGAGGGTCGCCTGAGCCCAGTTCAAGGCCGGCCTGGGCAGCACAGAGAAACCTGTCTTTAAAAAGAAAAAAAAAGTTTCTCTACATACCTGTTCAACATTATAGCCATGTTTCTCCTTTGCAATTGCAATATATTCATCCACTGTAATAAAAATGTTAAGATAATTATCCTCATTTAATTTTCCCAGATCTACTTTTTTTTTTAAACATGGCAAAATAAAATACTTAATTATTCCAGGGATAAAGAAAAAACAAAAGAGCCAAAGTCATCTTCCATGAACTGTTACAAAAAGAGACATTCAAACAGGCTCAGAAGTTCCTCCAGTTGAACATGTTATTTAGTATGACATTGCTATGGTCACATATCATATACTTACTAAATCCAATGATATTATCATTATTTTTGTATGTAGAAAAAGACCAATCTCCAAGTAGACAATAAAACCTAATTATAGTGTAAAATACTAAAACAAATACTTCACTTTTCAATTATAGTCTTTATTATAATATTTAAGACCTTTTCTCATATTTAGAGTTTCTTCATTTTCCTATTAGAGTCTTTATTTGAAGTTATTTGGCTATTTGAGTCCCTTTCTCATATTTAGAGCTGGCCCAAAGCCTTGACCGTCTTGACAGTTGTATAAAAGATGATTTACACATCTACGATTTTGCCAGCCATACAGAATGACACACTTAAGTATGCTTCAGTATCCCTAAAATCTTCAGCTCTTCTTGTTGCTATACAAACAGTGCTTAAATATTCTATTTTTGTTTAACCTGTGTAATTAAGCCAATAAAACTATTCAGATAAGCAGTTTTAATAATGATATACTGGCAATTTAAAACTTCACTGCTAAGAAGTCTGGCACATTCAGAACTTAGTTTTATGTGAAGTCCACATAATAACTCCTTAGCCCTTTAAAATTATTTTAGACATATATAAAGTTAACTTTAAAAACGTATTTCTGAGAAGCAGTGGTTTAAAATTCTGACCCTGAAACAGGTGGCCTGTTGGGGCTTGGTTTTCTGCTTGTCTCCAGTTTACTCTGGTGCAGTAACTTGGTCTTCGTGTACCTTGGTGCATTCCTCCTAACGGGGTGATTAGGTGGCACCAGGATTCCTCTCAGGATCAAACGAATTAATATATATAAAGTGCTCAGAATAGCACCTGGCACATTTTAAGTACTTCTAACTACCTGCTACTACTATTTGGTCAGTCTAGTTTAGTACATGAGGATGCCATCATAACAATATGCTCTTAGAATAGCACCTATTTTCATGGATGTTATTAATCTCCCCAAATGTAAGCTTCTGATGCAGAAAATCCAAACAGCACATTTTGCTCAGGACCCACAGTACTTAATTGAACACATGACAGGACTAAATCTATGGTGATTAAATTTAACGACAGCCCCACAGATGAGAAAGGTAACTAGTACTACCTGACCAGTGCTTCTCAATCCTGGTTATGTATTAGAATCAGTGTAGGAGCTTCTTAAATGTAAGACACCCAGGCCTGGCATCTGAAGATTCAGACTTTATTTGTATGAGAGAGACCAGACACCAGTGCTTTTCAAAGACACCTCCCCAGATGATTCCAATATACATATAGCCAGGGCTGAAAGTGTTTGCTCAAGACCTTTACTGGACATTCCACATGGACACCATACTACCACTACATGTTAGCTTCCTGAATTGTGCTTTCTACCTTGCTAAAAAATGCACCATTGTGTAAAATACAACTAAAATACCAAAACTCAAAGGCTCCCAGATGCTCACTTTGTGAAAAAAACCTTTACCTGAGATAATGAGAACTGGACCAGAAACCCAACAGTCTCTTTTAGATTCTTGGTATGTGGTGCCAGGCCAAATGAACAATGTCATGTTTCTGTTAATGCCTCACGGGCATATAATTCCTCGATTACCTGCGAGACTCTAGCTAGTGTTCTAAAGCTCCTCAAGAAGGAGGATGATTGGGTATGCAGAAGCATAGTCAGTTTTCAAGTTTTAGTTTTCTTGCTACATCAATAAGCATTAGACTTACTATGCACATGATATACAAGACATCATTAATTTTCTTGAAACTAGACATCTTTAAGATGTTAGTAAATATTTTTAAAAGGCAAACTTATTTTATAGCTCCCAGAATGACTGTTCCACGTTGTGTTGTTGTTATTTAATAGATTCAATGGTCAATGGAGGGGTGGGGTTCTTAGCGTTGTTACCTGCACGTTTCCTATATCTGATATGCTGCAAAGGATCAGGTCCACTACATCACATTGACGTCTAAAGCCACACCATGATCCAAGAGGTGCACAGTCAATGATACCGCAGGTCTCCGGCCAGAAATGCACAGACATGACCTGATGGCTGCTGACGTCAGTCCTTTCTGCTTTCCTCGCTATAATGGCAGTGACAGTGGGCTCTGCAGTCTGAAGGCATCTCTTTACGGCTCCATAGACTAAGGAAAGCCTGTGTAGGAACCTCCGCCCCTGCTTGAGGGTTAAGCAGCAATGCCATCAGATCCTAGGTTGTTTTCATTCTTCATAGGCCTGACACAAACTGGAATCATTAACCCTCTATCTTTCAAAAGGAAAAAACATTCTAATGTAACAACCTCTACTAAAAAAAGAACATAAATTCTCTTCGTATGACAATCTAAAAAGACTCAAAAACAAAGATAAACTGCATATGGAATTGGTGACAGATCCTGTTGACCTTAGCATTTGATCTCAGAAAACTTACATTTGGGATCTGGGATACTGTGATAGGGAGACCACACGAGCATCCCTCCATTGTCCTTATCTGTGTACTTTGTAGCACCTGGGGGAAAAAAATCAATTACTTAGAACATGATGGATTTTATTTACACCCACATTAGCATACACAAAGTAAGATTTATTTATTTTAGTACAGTACCTGCATAGGATAAGAAAGTATAGAAAACAAAATGGAAAACAGATTTACATTAGAGTCGGCAAATATCCTACTTGGAAAGTTAAGGAAATTTCTGCACATGCTGCTGCTCCCCACTGTTAACAGTCTGTACCTAGATGCTGCACAGCATGAGGGTGTACAGCTCCCTGCTGTCAGGGATGAGTCTGTCAGGAGAGGCAGCTCAGCGGGTGGTGTGCCCTGGTGCCCCCTCCCAGCTCTGCCCTTCACCCTGGTGTCCTGGAGGCCTGCTCATGAGGTGAGCCTCTTTGCTCTGCCAGGCCCTTCCACCATGGTTTCCTGCCTTGGAGCTGACCAACTACAGAATGAAAAGCATGATCCAAAATACACCTTTCCTCTTTTAAGCTGTGGCTGTCAAGTACTGTGTCCCAGCAAGTGGCAGACAGAGCTAGGATTCAAATTCTGAGTCTGACCACTAATACTAAATACTGTTCATTTCCACAAACATCATCAAGAAGAAAAGTGACTAAGGCACCAACTTTAAAAAGACAAGACTTTCTTAAGTACGTATCTCTACCTCTTTTTTTTTTCCCCCTTTGGATAAAGGGTCTCACTATGTAGTTCAGACTGGCCTTGAACTCACTCTGTAGCCCAGGCTGGCCTCAAACTTGGGGTGATCCTCCTGCCTCAGCCTCCTGAGTCTGGGATTACAGGTGTGCTCCACATGCCTGGCTTTCCACTTCTTGATGGAGTTCAATATAGCCTTCTATATGTTTCTTAGGAATCGTGGTTAAAAATTTCGACTTTTTAAACTACAGAGAATACCTCATGTATTGTTTTGCCCTATATTTAAAAGGGCCAAGATTGTTGTAATTTTTAAATACTGGTGTCTACTTTTATTTAATCTGATTCCTCGATAAGCCTGTCAACTACTCCTTCTTAACTTCACTACACTTCATATTTATAAAAAAGTCAAAGATGTAAGTTAATAATTTCTTCTTAATGTAATCTGAAAGTATACATAAATATAAAAGCATATATCCCTTAATTTATTTGCAATCTATTACAACCTAGAAAGTCAGAAAATTCTCTAATAATTTAAATTAAGAACAAACAGAACAAATCAACACAGCTACCTCACAGCAAAGCATGTCTGTAAGCTCTGTCTTTTAACTACATGGCTTCTACCTAATTCTACCCACTTCTTAGCTGCAGGTTATTTAAAACTACCAACAAATTAGGCACTACTGCCACATGTTCTAAGATAACTTGTTTATGAATGTTGTAAGTGACCTGTGAGGTACTGATAGAATGGCCAGAATTCCAAAACTGTTCACATAAAACATTAATAAAATTTAGGCTAAACTGTTTATAAAGTTATAGGGAATCTGGAATAAAGAATATTCATTTATAGGGGTAAAGAAACTACTATTATAATATTCATATTGAAAAATTACCTATCAGGCAAAAATTTAAAATCATTCAATAATTTACTTTTGGAGAATCATATATTACTACTATATGTTCACATTTTAGTTGAAAAATCACAGTGTTAGTGAAATATGAAGCTAAAATTTTTTAAATGTCTGTTTTATGGTAAGAAAAAATTAAGGATGAAAAAAATAAAAGGAGAAACATCAAAGTATTAGAAAAACTGCAATTACAAAATAAATCTAAAAAAGTTTAGAATCTGAACAAATGCAAGTTAGAATCTGATTATCTAAAATTTATTCCATGAAAATAAACTTGGAGATGTCTTTTAAAAAGTCAGTATTAAAATATATGCATTTAATATTTAACTATGTTAAAAAATGCAAACTAGCCAACCTACTCAATGGAAATAAAACAGAAACCTTACCTAAACTGGTCAGAAGCTTCTACTTAATAAAACCATTATTTCCCATGAGTACTCAGCCGTCAGTCCTTTCACACGGAAGTATTTCTGTACAGTGGACAGTAAGGGCACTCAAATCTTACCTCATAGCATTCAGCATTCGACGAAATCTCAAGTCCTAACAGCAAGCATAATAATCAACATATTTCCTTGCACCTCATTCTTGTACTACAAAAAGTCTGAATTAAAATGTCTCATAAAATTCATTTTCTTAAACAAGTGTTAAACTTAAAAAAAAATCTCCATGAAGAATAATCAGTTACTGTCATTAGGGCCTGATTGACAAGCTGGCACCAGACCTGCAGGCTCCAACAGCACTTCCCACACGCGGTGTGGTGGAAGGCAGGCCTGCGCCAGGGCACAGGGTCTGACTATGTATTCAGGGTTTTGGCCCTGGACACTGGCATTTTCAATGTGTCAACCGGGCACAAGACAAGGCTGAGGTTGCAGAAATGAACCGTATTTTAGTGTCGTGGCTAAGAACGTGGATTGAGTCAGGCTACCAGAACTTGGACCTCAGCTCTGCCACTTTGGATAAATCTAGTTAATGAGTCTGGACCTCAGCTTTCATCTCTAAAAACAGGGATGATACCAGTACTTATTCTACAAAGTTGCTAAGAAATTACACAAGACATAAAAACACTAGAGGAGATTTTATTATTATTATTGTTACGCTTATTGAAGACAGTATTTTAAGTTCCCTTCTTTCTCCACAGTGGAAAACCTTGTTATCAAAATAAATGAATAAAATCTCATAGGGCTGTAACTCAAATGGTTGACATTCTCTCTCATCAATCCTTTAAAGATGAGACTGAATAGCTGAAACAACCTTTTTGTCTTCCTGATAATTCGGATTGGATTCCTCTCCTATAAAAGATTAGAAGGTAATTTGTACTATTAAAAATAAAGTATGCTGTAGGATGTTTTATATCCAATAAACTTATCCTGTCCTGGTATAAAAGTTGAAATGAACTTAAATACCTAAAGGAGATAGACCCAAAGTTTTTATCTATCACAACATTTAATATTATGCCTCAATACTGTCTAATATTCAGAAATAATACTGGGAACCAAATCTGATTCACTAACAGAATAACAAAGGCTTAGAAGTATTTATCTTCTGGACAGATCAAAAAACAAACCAAAACCTAGATGCAAGCTACTATAATTTTTAGACCTTTTTTTTTTTTTTTTTTTTGTACCGGGGATTGAACTAGGGACCTTGCGCTTTCGAGGCAGGCACCGGAACCACTGAGCTAAATCCCCAGCCCTCCTAGACTTTTAACAATAAGGCAGTTATGGAAATAAGTGTTAAGAAATTTTTTAAAATTTTAAATAAAGCCTTTAAAAGTATAATCCCTTTGAAATCTTTTAAGTCTCTTTTGACTGCAGTTGGCAAAGTGCATTTATCAGACTACTGGGGACAACCAACTACTAAGAAACACAAACTTGGTCAATCAGGATTTCTACATCAACTGCAAATTTCAAAATAAGTATAAAAATAAAATCTCATAACTTTTCAGATTCTCTTTCAGGCATTAAAAGAACTTTAATGGAGATCATGGAGCACATATACTAAATAAAGAATGTAAAACACTGAAAATAAGATGCTCCAAACTTTAAAATGTCTATGTACATAACAGGCTCTAAATTATATACTTGATATAGCAACTTCAAATTGGGGTAAACTGACTTCTGCAGGGGGCACCACAGGAGTAAGTTTTAAGTGAACCAATTTTCAGACTTCCAACTGTCCTACATTCTGCTTCCCAAGACCGTCTGTCCGAGAACTCACAGGCAGTCTAAGCTATGAAGTAGTCTCCCCTTTATCTGGGGTATCACTTCCCTTGGTCAACTATGGCCCAAAACTTAAAATGGAAAATTCCAGAAATCAACCATTCATCTGTTTTAAACCACACACCCACCTGAGCAGCATCACATCCCCTGCCCAGCACACCCACGCTCTGCACGGTCACCTGGGAGTCACCCTGCTTAGGGGGTCACTTCAACGGCACCACAGGGCTGGTGCTCAGGCAATTCTTACTTAGAGGCCGACCCAAAGTGCAAGGACAGCGGGCTGATGACCAGGGACAGGCCCACAGTTCTTCCCAAGAGAAAGGGCCTGCTCCTGACTTCACAGGGGCTGCCTTGACCTGCGGAGGGCTCTGTCCCCGCAGATAGGGGTGGTCCATGCACACTCAGGCCACTTCTGCTGTCCCTCTTAACAAATGCCCTCTACCCCACCCCTTAAGCACTCTGCATCTCTTATCCCTCCCAAATCTTCCAAGAATCCACTGCTCATAAAATGGAAAACCTCCAGAATTCCAAAGTGTCAGCAAAGCTCTCCATTACTCAAGACACTGTAACTACTTTGGTTTTAACCAATTACCCATTAATTCAAGCAGGGTAATTTTAACACTCAGAAACATTACGGTCACAAGAACACATGAAGAAAAGCTAGGCCTTATTAAAAGGAGAAAGGTTGGGCAGGTGATCAATAAAACACCTTATGCACACAAATAATTATGGAAGTTAAAGTTCTGTGGAGAAAATGCATGGAAATAATTTCAAGGACAAAAGGAAGGCTGTAAACTTTCAGACTCTGAAAAGCAAATATTTTATGAAATAGATGCTACTGCATCACTATAATATTTATATTTAATCAGATGTATTTAAAATAATAAAACTTTATTTCAAAGTGTTAGTATTTTTAATACACCAGAGATTACATTCTTCAGTTCAACCCAATAGATGCCAACTTTAAAATAAGAGAATATTTTCTCAAAATTCTTTTATGGGTAAGCCAAACCCACTGCTTTGTATACATTAATTTTCAGCTGATCTTGTGATACAGCCAACATTATCCTCCTTTTACAAAGAAAAACGAAAGCCCAGGGATTTCGGGCAGTTCAGGCAAGGCAACTATGGCACACTAGCCTGCAGGCTAAGACCACCCCTCCCGGGGTCAGGCAGCCAGCAGGTGCTAACCCTTCAGGAAGACCTGGGAAACAATCTAGGTGACAACAAGCAGAAGTCCAGTTAGTAAGTTACACAAACGTCAGCAGCAATGACCCTTTCCCCAACACCCATCTCAGTTCTTCTCATCCGTTTCATAAACCTCTTTACACGCTCAATTGCTATCATAATCACTATCATCTCTTCCCATAAAAACACCCTCCATCAAAACATTCTCCTCCAATTTTTCTCCATTTCAGCACAATTATCTCAGCACTAAGGCATTCTTCTTCTAAGCCACTGGAAGGGCAGGGTGAGCAATCTCCAGGGAGGCGGACTGAGTGGTTCATGAGACCACCGTAAAATGGGAAAAGGAGAGAGCTCCTCCTCAGTTTCTAACACTGATCAGTATCTCTTTTCCTCTGTGACCTTTTCCAAGGTAGTATGTTTAAATTCTCACCTAATTATACTGGAATAATGAGAAATAAAAACTTCACAGCACACTACAACAGTCAGAAACAGAACAGCAAGGCGCACAAGTACAGCGCTTCCCTGCAGAAAGTGTCTAATAAACCGGGCAGGGTACACTCCTGTGAGCCCAGCACTCTGGAGGGCCAGGCTGGAGGGTTACAAATTCCGGCCCAGGGTCCGACAGGAGCTGTAGCTCCGTGAAAAGGCCCTGGGCTCAATGCCTAGCACCGGGTGGGGTGGGGATAATCTTCGTGCTCCGACTGGGCCTACCTAACAACTGAAACCCCACCT